CAGATTCAAAAGAGGATGTGGAATGAGAGATATCATTGCTGATGTCTGATGGATCTTGGCTAAAAGCAGAGAATTAAAGAAAGATGCTTACCTGTGCTTTACTGACTATGCAAAGGCTTTTGGTTGTGTGGACCATGACAAGCTATGGATAACATTGTGGAAAATGAGTATTTTGGAACAGTTAATTGTGCTCATGAGGAACCCGTACATACACCTAGAGGCAGTTGTTAGAATGGAACAAGAGAACACTGAATGGTTTTAAATGAGGAAAGTTGTGTGCCAGGGTTATATTATCTCACCATACTTATTCAACCTGTATGCTGAGCAAATAATTTCAGAAGGTGGATTATATGAAGAACAACGTGGCATCAAGATTGAAGAAAGACTCATTAACAACCTGTGATATGCAGATGATACAAGCTTGCTTGCCAAAAATGAAGAGGACTTAAAATACTTGCTGATAAAGATTTAAAAAAAAAACAACAACAGCCTTTGGTATGGCTGTAAAGACAACAAAATCCTTACCACTGGACCAATAAATAACATCAAGATAAATGGAAAACAAATTGAATTTGCCAAATACTTCATTTTGCTCAGATCACCATAAACCCTCATGGAAGCAGCAGTCAAGAAATCAAACAACGCATTGCATTAAGCAAATCTGTTAGAGAAGATCTGTTTTAAGTGTTGAAGAACAAAGATGCCAGTCTGAGGACTGAGGTGCGCCTGACCCAAGCCATGGTATTTTCAATAACCTCGTACGCATGTGACAGTGGACAATGAATAAAGAAGACCACAGAAGAATTGATTCATTTGAGTTATGGTGTTGGAGGAAAATATTAAAAGTACATGGACTGCCAAAAGAACCAACAGATCTGTGTTGAAAGTAGTCTGAGTGCTCCTTAGAAGCCAGGATGGTCACACTTCATTTCTCATACTTCAGACATATTATCAGTACAGACCAGTCCCTGGAGGAAAACATCATGTTTAGTAAAGTGGAGGGTCGGCAAAAAAGAGGAAGACCCCCAGTGAGATGGATCGGCAGAGTGGCAGCAGCAATGGCCTGAAGCGAAGCAATGACTGTGAGATTGGCCCTGAGCCAGGCAGTGTTTCATTCTGTTGTGCACAGGGTACCAACCTCACAACAACATACACATGCTTTACACACACAAACACACATAAATACGTGCGTTTATACATCCATATATCATGCATATGAACAATTCAAATGCATACATATAAACTGTTCTGCATGTGCACACGTGTGCTTGCAGGTACTATACGCACTCACAGGTGCACACACATGTAAGTGTTTGTACGTGTCCACCCATACAGATCCATACGCACTCGCATGTGAGTACACACAGAGACACGTGTGTGCCTGCACATGCTATACACACATGTATAACTTGTGTGCTATAAACATATACCTGTATGCACACATTTGATTCACATTGTTGTTATAGTTATTAAGTGCTGTTGAGTCGGTGCTGACTCATAGTGATACTGTATAGTTTCCAAGGAGTGGCTGGTGAGCTTGAACTGTCGACCTTGCAGTTCAAACCAACCTTGCAGTCCAGCGCATTAACCCACAGTGCTACAGCAAGACTCCTTGCTTCACATGTGCACATATATGCACTCATACCCACAGCGTAGTGGTTACGAATCAGGCTGCGAACCTTAAGGTCAGCGGTTCGAAACTACCAGCTGCTCCTTGGGAGAAAGATGAGGCTTTCTGCTCCCGTAAAGATTTACAGCCTCGGAAACCCTGTTACAGGGTCGCTATGGGTTGGAACCGACTCGATGGCACTTAACAACAACAACACATGCAAACACACATACAAATACATACACATTGCAATGCAGAGCCCTTGTGGTCAATGTCGGGACCTCAATCTGCCCACAACTTGACAGGATTTCTTATTGTAAGAGTGAGGTCTCCCAGGACCCGCCCTATTCTGTTCCTGATTTGCTCTGAGACCTAGAAGGGATGACTCTGTGGAACCTCACATGCTCCATCCACAAAGCAAGGATTCTCAGTGGACCTCCTCTGCCGTGAAAACTCCATGCGGATCAGAGATGGCAACAGGGCTGGCCTACCTGTGTGGAATCTTCGAAATGTCAATCTTCTCTTTAGAGGAGACGTAAGGTATCACCACCACTCTTTTCAAGTCTGGCAGCCCTGAGCAGAGACAGTGAAGAAACACAGGGTTACAGGGTACCAGACACCTAGTTGCAGATGTTTCAATGAAACGTAAATCAATCTAAAATCAAAACACCAAGGCAGCTGCTCACCAGTCCACTCCAATTGATAGCAGCCCATTTGTGTCAGAGTAGAACTGAGCTCCAAAAACTCAGCTTTCAACAGCTGAGTTTCCTTCTCAGGTACCTCTGGGCGGACTTGAACCTTCAACCTTCTAGTTAATAATCCAACAAGCTAATGGTTTCTACCACCCACCCAGGGGCTCTAGGGTGCAGATTCCTCAGAGATTCTGTAGGTCTTACAGCCAGGGAGGAGGCACACACCTTTAACGACCTGCTGCAGCTTGTCCATGTGGCTGTGCTGTTTGCCGTTGTACACGACGGCCTCCACAGAGAAGATGAGCTTAGGCTGGATCTGAGAAAAGCGGTCCAGGACTCCCTGGAAACAGAAGGCACACGGTCACAGGTCACCCAAAGACCTCAGGCCTTGGCTGCCAACAGAGAGCCACTTCATGTGGAGGGAAAGAACCCCACGTGCTCACATCCACCTCCATGGAAACCAACAGTATCAGGAAGGAGCGTGGGGCACAGCAGGAAAAGCGCTCAGCTGCTACACAACAGGTGGGCAGTTTGAATCTAGCAGTTACTCCACAGAAGGAAGATGGAGACCCTATGGGGGTGGGGGCAGAGGGCAGGCCTTCTCGGTCCTCTGGGTCACTTAACTGGGACCAGTATGACAGCAGAGGGTTTGATTGGGGTTTGGGGTGGGAATGGGCAGACATCTGAAGTCCGTCACATGATTGAACGCACACTCACAAATGAGAGTGAGGAGGATGTCTCTAAGACAACAGCTCCATCCGCTGGACTCAGACCCCAGCCCAGAGTCAGACACTTGGAAGCGGGCCCGCCAGGTAAGCCTGACGCAGGTCAAGTTTGAGAACCACCACATCAAAGATTCCAGGTCTAAGATTTATTTCATAACTGGGGGTGGGAGTAGTAATTTGTTTACCATAAAGTGGGTTCCTGCTCCTTGGAACACCTCAGGACAAAGGAGAAAAATTTTGTTCTGTTTCCCATTGTTTTCCATGAACTACACTCAGTGTAGACAGCAGGAAGAGAAAAAGAAAAAGGAGGCAGAGGACGGCTGTGGAGCCGTGAAGTGGGTGATGCTATTGGGCTGGCCAAGCAGGGTTCAGCTCCCTGAGTTCAGCACACGGCTCAAGAGAGAGCACAGTGAGCCGCCTTCACCACCATGGGGCACAAAGCGCGCACACACACCAGTGACACTGTGTCTGACCTGGAGTCGGCACTTAGCAACCACGTGAGCACTGAAACCAGCAGTGAGAAGGGCCGCCCTGTTTATGTGCATGCGCACAGACGTAGCCTTCTGACATCTCGGAAGAAGCCACTGGCTGAGTGGTAGACAGTGAAGCAGGGGAAAATCAGAGATTAACAAATGTCAACCGTGACCTCCTCCCACCAAGTGATGGCTGAGGACCCCAAATCACAAGGAACCCCAAGTGAGGGGGAGTGATCAGAGGAAAAGCCAGAGTGAAGTGGGAAAGGATCTGAGAGACGCAGGCCCAGGCCCAGAATACAGTGTAGCGAGGAGACAAGTTCCCCCGGCACTGAGGACACACATCCCACCCACCTGGGGACAAGGACCACAACTGAGGGCTCCCTTCACACCTGCCAAGCCAGAAGGGAAAGGGCATGGTATTTGTGGCAGGTGAGTCGTGCTAAGAGGAGACCCCAATACTGACAAATGCGCCCCCTAGATAATTCCACACAAGTGCCTGGGCCCCAGCACTGACATCAGAGTTAATGGCCCCGAGTCTAGAAACCAAATAATGAAATTTGGGATTTATAGAAGAGCCGATTTACAGACAGGACAGCAGGCTCCAGAAATCCCCGACTGCAGACAGGGCTGTCAAGTTTGAAGTGCAGAAGCTGGAAACTAGAAACGGGTGCTCTCTGTCAAGTAGACACTGGCAAACCCAGGAAGGGCACAGAGCCCAGGTCCTCCCTAACAGGATTCAGGCACAAAGCCCCACCTCGTCAGGGCCGCCGGAAGTTTCTCCAGGTTGGTTTTAGCTCCAAAAAGGAACTATAAACAAAAGGCGACCCGATATTGATGAACAAGCTCTGGGGCACTGGCATGATTTATCTGTACTGAGCGCCATGCCACATACTGTCATACGGGGCCATGGGCTGGCCCTCTCGACTGCCCCCAGGCCTGCTAGACCCTCTGCCATTCACACACTGACACACGAGCTGTCCACTGGTTCAGCTCACTTCACAGGTGACCACGGCCAACCACACACGCCAGCCTATCCTTGCAGGACATTGTTGTTGTTGTTGTTGTTAAGTACCGTGAAGTCGATTCCGACTCATAGCGACCCTACATAGGGTTTCTCCAGGGAGCAGAAAGCCTCATCTTTCTCCCGCGGAACCACTGGTAGTTTCGAACTGCCAACCTTGAGGTTAGCAGCCCGATTCATAACCACTACGCTACCAGAGCTCCTTACAGGACATAGAGGGGTCTACACCTTGTCCCACGACACAGGCAAATGAGGAGTGTTTCCAGGATGGACAGGCAGGAGGTGGGGGGCTGCCCTTCCTGACTAGCATATGTCCGTGAGCCACGAGTGTGATGGGGAGCAGAGCCAGGACACCTGGGGGCTGTACTGTGGGGCTCCAGACCCAGGAAATCGGGGTGGACACTAGTCCATCGGAGTAGCTTCTGTGGTGGCGTTTTGCTCAGGACAATGATCCGGAGTGCCCAGCCAAACTGGACAGCGGCAGCTAGAAGCAGGTTAGTGTCTGAAGCGCACCTGTGGCTGAAAAACCAACACCAGCACAGGAGGGTGACCTCCACGTCCACTTTGGTCCATCCTCCCCCTTGGCCTGTGGCTGCAGGTCCGGGGCCCCTAAGACCCAGTCCAGGAGCGCCACCGTCTGAGAAGTCAGGTCCAGTTGGGTTCCCCTGAGGAGTCCACAGCACGCCACCCCCCCCAGACCCTCAGGGCAGAATGGGGACCCTCACTTACGTTCACGCCGAAGTCTGGGGACGTGGAGCTCCAAATGGCACCAATGCTCGAGGCTGCCAGCATCGCTTCCACAGCATGTGCACTGTTGGGTAAATAGCCTGCGGAGGCACAGCAACCCTGAGAGCCGGGGCCCTGAGGAGCACAGCCAAGCCCAGCTGCCCACCCTACCTTTGCTGCCTCCTCACCACTCTCAGCCTTCTGCCCCGTCTCCAGGCCCTACTCAGAGCAACCTTTCCAGCCCTTCCCTACTCCCTGCTCCTGGGCTCCAAGGCAGCTGCCTTGGTCGTTCAGCTGTTGGGTAAATCAGAGCTCCTCCTTCCTCAGTGTCTCTGCACAGGCTTACATGCCATGCATACCTTCCCAGGTTAGCACCCTCAACTCAAGCAAGACCATCCTGCCCTCCACCACCCAAACTTAGGTCTAACCATTATATTCACCCTCAGTGCACACTGAGGGCTTCAGACAGTTGGCGGGAAAATGGAATTCAACAGATTTCTCCCTCACAGAACTCATCATAACTGTAAAGTAAGAATCATCTCAGTGACGACCGGCTCTCAGATGAGGACAGGGATGTTGTCTGCCTGTTCTCTGTGCTAGCCTGTCCTGGGCTATCAACCCCTCAAACAGCGGTCAGCATATGGACAAGTGGGAAGGTGTATGTATGGGTAGACGGATGGACAAGTATGGATGGGTAGGTGGGCAGTGGATGCGTGAATGGACTGGTGATACATGGGTGGATGGATGATGGGTGGAGGAGTGGATGACTGGTGGGTGGACGGGTAGGTGGATGAGAGGGTGGACAGAAGGAAGAGGGTATGAAGACTATTAGGAGTACATTCCAGAAAGGTCTACAAACTCATACAGGGCAAAGGAGTGGTCAGGCCCTCCACTGAATAGGAGCCTGGATTTTATAGCCAATAGAGGCAGAGAATCTTTATCATGAGAGTCTTCCATACATTCAACAAAGCTTCCCAAATCATCACAGGACAGGGCTTGGACATGCGGATCAAGGAGCCCAACGCCTCCCCAGAGCAATGGCATGGCCCCAAGTGACGGTACAGGCCCTCTGGACCCCTCTGAACTGTCTTCTTGGACCACATCAGTTGGTGCTTTGTGTCATGGGTGGACACCCACCTCCCCATCAGGCCGGAATCACCCCCAAAGAGCAGGTAGTGAGTTGTCTGCTGGGTCAGTGTGCCCTGCCCTGCGCCTAGCATAATGCAGGCCCAAGGATGTTTACTGAACAGACTGTGAGCGTAAACACGGCCATTACCCAAGGGCAGGGCCAGACTCACTAACTACCCCAGAGGCTGGAAGAGGCAGCTGATTTCCTGATAACTGAGAGATGGCACAGAGCCAGCACTTCTGAAGCAGAGGAGACCTTGGGGGACCACTTCACAGACCACAGAAGACTAAGCCATGCAGTCTTAACTGCAGCTTTTCAAGTCTTTACAGCACCTATCCATTTCATCCTCCTCTGGAATCATTCCCTAATGCCCTTGTCCAGGAATCACACAGGCCAGTGCTAGTAACTACGGTCAGGTAGGTCAGAAAGCACCAGCTGATTCTGAAAAGTCCAGGGCATCAAATACTCAAGCCATGGCCTTCTCAGTCTGCTCCTATGCGGACCAAAGCTGGACAAAGAAGAAGAATCAGAAAATTGATGTCTGAATTATGGTGTTGGTGGAGAATATTAAATATAGTACAGACTACCAGAAGAACACACAAATCTGTCTTGGAAGAAGTACTATTGGAATGCACCTTAGAAGTCAGGATAGTGGACTGTCCTCTCATGTACTGGAGATCTGTCATCAGGAGGGACCAGTTCCTGGAAGAACGACATCATGCCGGGTAAAGCACACAGCCAGTGACAAAGAGGAAGGTCCTCAACGAGACGCCCTGACACAGTGGCTGCAGCGATGTTCACACAGCAACAACGGTGAGGCTGGTGCAGGACCAGGCAGTGTTTTATTCTACTGGACATGCGGTCACTACGAGTCAGAACCGACTACTGGACATGCGGTCACTACGAGTCAGAACCGACTCAACGGCATCTAACAACAACAGGTCATCAGAGGCAGAGTCTCCAGATTCTTTCTCCAACACATTCTGCTCGCTGTTTCTCCTTCTCTGGGAAAAATCACCTCAAAAGGTGATTTTTAAAAATTTTAATTTGAGGAAAGAAAAAGTAGAGGGTGGAAGACCATGCTGCATCACTTTTCAACATTTTAAAAGAGTGCAGATTAAAGCACACCAAGCCAGACCCGAAAAGAGTGAGGTTTCAGCCCAAGGCATCTGCTCCAATCCTGGGCCCAGCGCCACAGTTGCTTTGTCAGAACAGGTTGATGCCAGGCTGCTAGGTGCCACGTGGTGTTCACAGACTGTGGTGTGCCAGTGAACAGAAGCTGAAGTTCCTGCCTTCAGCATGGGCAGGAGTACACAAACACACACACACACCACTGTGTGATGTCAGGAGTGATAAAGCACTACAAAGTAAAATAAAGCAGGAGACAGAGTGATGGGTCAGGGGACAAGATCACAAGGAAAGGCCTCCAAACAGGAACGTCTGAGCACAAGTCTCAGAGGATCCCACGTCCGCGTCCAGGGAGAGTGTGCCATGGAGAGTCCAAGGCGAGAGCAGACCTGGTATGCCCCTTCCTGTTTGATCTCTTTCTAGTGTGGAGCACTAAGAGTAGAGTCCAGTCCAGTCCACTCTGTCATCTGACAGCGAGACACAGGATCTTGTCCACCGGAAGCAGGCCCAGCCCCCTCCCCTCATGTGAGGTGATAAGACGTCACAGAAATCATTCCCTCTTCGCAAACACAGGCAGACACCTCCTTGAGGGGGGCTCACCCAGGGCAAACACAGACATTCCAAAGCCTAGAAGGGTCTCCTGTACGCAGCACTAGCCTACATGGAGGGGTGGGGTGGGGGGGGGTGTAGGATGGAGCTCACAACCACCAGGGCCCTCTGGAAAATGAAATCTTCACCTGCTTTGACCTGTGTACACACCTAGCCACTTTCAAATCACCTATCACTCCCCTGGGGCAGAGAACAGGCCTATTTACATTTGTTTCCACACAGCCACTGAAGTCAAAGTAGCACTCCAGATCTGAGTAGGCCCCTGTGACTCCCTGCCCAGAGAGTGGAGGAAGGGCAGAGCTGGGCACGGAGAAGGAGCGCGACCTGTGAGGTGAGGAGACATTACCAAAGGCCAAGGAGGTACAGGTAAAGGAACCAGCCCAGGAGATGTGAAGCAGGCAAGGGAGAGCAAAGAGAAAGGGGTGAGGAAATTAGAACGGAAGCGAGGAGCTTCCATGTGGATCCAGAGGGTGTCGCCAAGTCAGGGCAGGCTTCCGAGCAGGAGATGGACATAATTGTCACATGTCAGTTCCGTTGGTCCTGGAGTGAAACTGCATGGTCACAGAAGACACAAACCCGTCTTGGGGTTTAAGAATCAGATCCGGTTTCTGATTAAACTTTGACCTCAGCCACGCAGAGAGAAAATGACCATCACAATCAGCATTAGCATGGCCCAGCTTGGAAGCTATCCACTTGGCACCATCACCGCCACCATAGCCAACCTGGCGGACGCCCTGCTCTCGCCCCCAGGCAACCCCGGAAAGGACAGGAAAGGACAGAGCCCTGACTGTCACCCCGAGATGCAAGTGCTTTGGTCCCCTTAAGCAAACACATCTCAGTAAAGTAAAAGGTTGTAGTTGCTAAATATCGTTAAGTCAGTTCCAACTCACAGAGACACCACATAGGGTTTCCAAGGAGCAGTTGGTGAGTTTGAACTGCCAACCTTGTGGTTCATAGTCTAATGCTGATCTTACAGCGCTACTCCAGGAATCCTCAGCAGAGCAGAAGGTGGAGCCTACAAAATGTGGACAAGCAGCCTATCTCGGCTGCCCTGTTTAAGAGGAAGACACATGTCCAGAGAGGGGATGCTACTTGTGCCAACACACAAGGGGCCATCGGGAAGCATCAGAGTTATATCGTGTCTTGTGACTCAGAAAATCACACGCTCGCAACCTCTCAGGCACCACTACCAGAGGACGGACAAGCAGGAGAAACATGGTAGGGAGAAGCCCTGGGAGGTGATCTCAGAGGCCCTGTGGCAGGAAAGATCTGAAGCCTGGCCCCAGTCCTGAAGCAGCAGGTAGTGCCCATTGAGCCATTTCGTTTATCATCTTTGTGATGAAGAGCTCCAGGTATGAGAATTCATTCATGTTAAGAAAGGAGTACTGTGTGTGTGTGTGCGCGCGCGCACACACGCGTGCTGATCCCCCTTTGTTGTACCAGGGGGCTTCAGAAAAATTTGTTGAAACGTTTCATTATCTTTCTATTCCATTTTTTATTTTTTGAAGTCCCCTCACACATTACCTTTCCCTTCACCCAATTTAATCCGCATCTACCTTCCAACTAGAGGCTTACTCTCCCTGTCCCTCCTACTCCTGGAAACGTACAAAGAATGCTTTTCTTTCCATGACTTCTTACAATTGTTGTCGTTAAGTACCCTCGAGTCGGTTCCAAGTCACAGCGACCCTACATAGGGTTTCCTAGGAGCGGCTTGCAGTCCAGCCACGCATTGGCCTGCCGTGCCACACCAGGACTCCTTTTCTGACTGACTTCTTCCACTCAGCACAGTGTTCTACACAATCCGTTCATCGTCATTCCTTCATGTTGCATAGTGTCTCATTGTGTTTCTGTAACAGTTTGTTTATCCATTCTCCCATGGATGAGTGAGTACTTGGAGGTGGTTTCCATACAAAGTAGTACTTCTTATCATTTTCAGAAGCTGGGTGCTTCCATATAGATGAATATTCAACGAACACACTTATTTAAATTGCAGGTGCTTTTCAAGTCAGCACCCATTTTAAAGAAGTCCTTTTAAAAAGAAAAAAAAAAAATCATTTATTTACTTTTCTGCTCTGTCCTTGAGTTCCCATCTGTGATGCGGAGGGAGAGTGACTTTTAAGGCTCCATGGGGCTCTGGTCCTCTGGGGTCCAGTAAGCAAGAGGAAATCAGTCAAATGAGTCTGAGCTGATTAAATGCCTGCTCCAGGGTTTTCAGGATTGGAAAGTGCAATAGTGTCAGCACAACCATAGTGACATGGACCCTAGACAATGCTCTAGGGAAGCAGCTTGTGGGAAAGAGACAGGCCACCTCTCATGGAGGCTCAGGGCCGGTCCCCACCCCACTCCACTCCAGTGTTCGTTCAAAAGGCTCACCTTTACTGTAATTAAGCACCAACTGAACCATCTGGTGGTGTTTAAGGATCATGAAAAATTCACAGCTCAGCGTAAAGATCATGGTTGCTAGGGGAACACAGCAGGACAAACAGACCATGGGGCTTTGCTGCAGTGTTGTCTGGTGCCATCTAGTTGGTTCTGACTCATAGTGACCCAGTGTACAACAGTACAGAACGTTGCCTGGTCATACGCCATCCTCACAGTTGTTGCTTTGTTTGAGTTCATTGTTGCAGCCACTTGTCAGTCCATCTTATTGGGTCTTCCTCTTTTTCACTGACCCTCCACTTTACCAAGCATGATGTCCTTTTCTCCTGAAGAAACATCCAAAGTGTCTGAGACAAAGTCTCACTATCCTTACGTCTACGCAGCATTCTGACTGTACTTGTTCCAAGACAGATTATCTCCTTCTTCTGGAAGCCCAGCATCTGTTCAGGATTTTTCACCAACATCATAATTCAAAGGCATCCACCTTAAGGGCAGTAAAGCTATTCTGCATGGGGCTGTCATGGTGAACACAGGGCACTGAGCATATTAGAGCCCACAGGACCACAGAAGTGTGTAACCCAGAGTGGGCTCTACTGTGAACTGGAGAACTGTGGATGACGGTAACGTGCCACAAACCTGACTGTCCATCACACAGTCCCCCCTCATTTACCAACATGCCAGGAGTCGGGGAGGTCACTCTCCTCGAACTCATTAATGCTGGTCTCCTACTAACTCTTCTCTGAACACACATAGGTAGAGTCCAATAAAGTTACACATAACACCATACAATTCCACCATATTCAGAAAGTTGGTTTACCCTTATACCATGGTCCTAAGACACCCTTTAGGCCCAGAAGCGAACTCAACCCCATGGCTACTCAACCACACAAGATCAAAAGGGCAGCGGATGTTTGCCCAGGAGAAAGCTCAGCAGACAGGAAGAAGCAGGAAAGGGGATGAATGAACCAGGAAACACAGGGAGGAAAGTGCTATTAGTTGTGGTGATGGCTCTCAATGTCACCATACAAATGTATATGAACATGGAATGGAAAACCAATTTGCTCAGTAAACTTTCACCCAAACCACAATAAAAAGTTAAAAAAAAAAAGTGGCTCAACCTTCCAAGCCATTGTACCTCCATCCCCTCCCCGCCCCCCTCCAACCATCAGAACCAGCAGAACTACTTACCAACAACGCGGTCCCCCACTTTTACCCCCATTTTCCTCATTGCTGCTGCAAACAAAGCCACTTGCTGCCTCAACTCTTCAAAGGTCACCTTCACAATTTCCTCCTTGCCTTCTCCTGGAACAAGAAAAAGGGGGACGATACATTTGACCATCAGGAAGATGGAAGACGACAGGTTCCAACTCACAGACACGGAGCTGAAAGTCACAGCTGTTGAAACACAAGCCCAAGGAAACATTGTACCAACACAGGGAGCACAGGCTAACTATACGAAAGAGAGGGGCTGAGCCAGAGGGAACCTCGGAAATGCGAGAGACTGTCTATTAGGAACACTTTCATTAAGGGAAGAATCTAAGGTGTTTGAATATTTTTCAAGCTTTTGATATTGAAACCACTGTAGTCACAGGAAGTTGCAAAGATAGTACAGAGAGGTCCCATGGACCCTTCCCCCAGTGGTTGTAGTTTGCTGCTGTTATTGTTGGGTGCCTGAGAGTAGACTTTGACTCAGTCACCCCATATGACAGACGACTACCCTATAGGGTGTTCTTGGCTGCAATCTTTTTGGAAGGTTTACAAGGTCTTCTCTCATGGAGCCACTAAGTAGGTTCAAACCACTGACCTTTCAGCTAGCACTTAACCATTGTGCCACCAAAGCTTCTTGGTTACATCTTACATAACTTAATACAATATCAAAAGCAGGATATTGTTGACATTGTACATAAGCATAGTTCCTTGTCATTTTATCACATTTCCTGTCATTACTGTCAATTATGGCACCGAACCCTGTCACCACCAGTTACCACCACAGGCACCACAGAGAACCCTGTCACCACCAGTCACCACAGTCACCATACACAACCCTGTCACCAGTCACCACACACAACCCTGTCACCACCATAGTCACCACACACAACCCTGTCACCACCATAGTCACCACACACAACCCTGTCACCACAGTCACCACACAGAAGTTATCCCTATCAATCAGAACATGGAATACTCTCACCTCCAGTCATAGGCATGACACAGAACGCTGTCCCCACTTGTCACCACCACAAAGATCTCCTTCCTGCCATCCATCTGCAGTCGTGGCTCCTCCCCAGCCTCACTATCCCCTGACAAGCACAGATCAGCTCTCCATCTCCAAAACCCTACACGACATGGCCTTTTTAAACTGGCTACTTTCTCTCAGTGCCCTTAAGATTCATCCAAGAATTATTAAAAGTATCTTGTGATACTGTAGGATAAACACTGGACTGCTAACCACAAGGTTGACAGTTCAAATTCAACAGCCACTCATCAGAAACTCTATACAGGGTCACTATGAGTCAGAATGGACTCAACAGCACTTAACAACAATACCATCTATAAGTCAGTCCTGTTTACTGCTGGGTAGTATTCCACCTTTGGCTAGATTTAAGTCATGCTTTTTTTCCCCCCAGATTATAAAGGTAATGCAAGTTCTCTTATAGAAAGCTTTGATCATGCAAAAAAGGTCTGACTAGGAAAACACAATTGTCAACCTCGCCAGTAATCAAAGGTAAAATGGTGAGAGATTCATTTTCACTTAGTCCATTGGTTAAGGATAGACAAACGAAGCCAGGCTCCACAGCAGCTTCCAGTGACCCCGGCTTCCAGTACTCAAGCCCTTGTGTAGGACACGGCTGACCCTAGCTCAGAAAAGACACTGGTGCTGGTATTTTGCTCACTCTGGAGGAAACTAGCCCCATGGCATACGGACACTCAAGCAGCACAGCGGAGAGGCCCATCTAGTGAGGAAGTAAGGCCTCCTGCCAACAGCCAGAGGAGTGCACCTTCTCGGAAATGAGCCCTCCAACCCCAGTCAAGTCTTCCACGCTGGGCAACATCTTGACTACCACCTCACACAAGAAGCCCTAGGCCAGAAGCACACCGTGAATGTGTCACTTCCGAATGTGTAACCCACAGAAACTCTGTGGTAATAACTGCTAGTTTTAAGCCACCATTTTAGGCTGTTGCATAGCAACAGATAATAGCCCTGGGAAGACTCGGGGGTTGGATGGCAAAGAAAACTTATTTGAACATTCCCTTCAGAGCTAAGCTGTCAATCCTTTGACCACCATCTTGGCAGCAAATATATTACTCCTGATAGTTGTTTACTTTTCAGCTCTACAACATGAAGGATCTCTTTTCCAAACTGATTCAGTATTCAAAGGGGATTTCCCTTTGGTGTGAATCTAGATTATCCTTTATCAAATCTGTGGCAAGCTGTATGTGCCAACCACTCTTCCGGTACCCTCCTCCTAGGGTATAGCCCAGGCGGTTTTAGGGCCTGTGTTAATGCCCGACCACCTGACATCCATTGTTTCAAGACAAAATGTGCTGACCGTGTGGACACAAGATGGGCTCACACAGCTGTTTGTGTCAGGGCAGACACTTGCTCTGCCTCTGGAGAAACACATGGGGGGAGAACTGACTACCAAGATCACAGCTCCCTGCTGGGAGGAAGGGCCAGTGGGAGAAACACAAAGACAACAAAAACACAAGGATGTTTCCATCCTCACGCCAATAAGAAGTCAATTCCATTCCGTACTCTGTAAACTACATGTGTCCCTGGGATGGGCCCTTACCTCCACTGTGCACGGGAGGCAAGGGAGAGCTCACTGGGGACAGGCGCTCACGTACTGCAAGACAAAGGGATGGCCGGGAGGTGTGGCGATATCAGGCAAGGAGGGGGAAGTGGGAAACAGAGCTCGAATCCACAAGCATTCCTTAAGCCTTTCTAGAAAGAGCTAGGCTTTTAAAACAGGGGAAAGGCAACCTGCTGTGTGTTCAGCAGGAGTTGTCCAGGAGGGTTAGGAGGCACCCCCAGGTCAGTCCCCGGCCAGCCTCCCATGTGACCAGGCCTGAGCGGATTGGCCGGCTTAGCAACAAACCAATGGTTGTTTCTTCTCTGCTTTTTCTTGTTGTTTGTAAAGAGGGAAGATTCACATTTGATGTTGCTCACTTTCCAAGAGTAGAGACAAGGACATTCATTGCCTGAGCACACGTTTAAAGGACCCAGGAGAATAAGACACTAGAGAGACGAGCAGTCTAGCTCTTCACGATGACCGAGGCTGGGGCTGAGGCTGTCCCAGAGACATGGACAGAAGGGTCGTGGACTCCGGGGAGGTACAGGCTCCAGTCTCTGCTGTTAAGTGCCATCAACATGGTTTCGCCTCAGAGCAGCCAGGTACACAGTGCTTTCTGAGGAGTGGCAGGTGGGTCTGAACCGCTGACCTTGTGATTAGCAGTTCAATGCTTAGCTTACAGCGCCACACCAGAACTCCTAACGATGAACAGAATATCACACAGCCATACAACATCACTTGGCATTTGACAAGATGAAATTTTGATCCACGTTCTGACATATGAACGAACCTCTGAGTAGCTATTTACTACCAACCAGCTGCCATGTGTGTCAGAGTTGAACTGTGCTCTACAGGACTTTCAGCTGACTTGTCAGAAATAGATTACCAGGACTTTCTTCCAAGGAACCTCTGGGTGTGTGGGGGCTCAAACTCCCATGGTCTCAGTTTGCAGTAGGGTACATTAGTTGTTCACACTATCCAGGACTCCATCTCTGAGGTCCTTATTTACTATGGTAGCACTTGTTGTTAACTACCATGGAGTCAGTTCCGACTCATAGCAATCCTATATAGGGTTTCCAAGGAGTGGCTGATGAGTCTGAACCACTGACCTTGCATTTCAAACCGACCTTGAGGTCGAGTGCTTATCCTCTGATGCCACACCAGAACTCCTGTGGCATGTCATTTTGCCCATCAAACAACATGAACCATTATTACCTGTATTCTCCATTTCCCAAAGATAATAAAATGTCAGCAGATGAACTATCAAGCTACAGCAAATACACAGAGGAAACATAGGGGAGTATTTCTGAGGGCAAGGAGCCAGTCTGAGAAGGCTACACACTGTATAATCCCACCTCCAGAACAGTCAGGAAAAGACAAACTACACAAAAGAGAAGTGGGCTCCAGGGGCTCAGGGCCAGGGGGCAGGGCCGACAGGTGGCGCTCAGGGCATCTTTAGAAACCACATTTGAAAGAACCTGTGTCGCTGGTTCTCAAACAGCCCCCAGTGTAAACAATGTGCAACAGTTACGAGTCACCCACCCACACTGCTTCACCCAGTCAGAAGGTGCGAGGTGCTCCTGATGTCAGCGCTGCTGCGTCGCTTCCAACTCTCAGGGACGGACCTTCTACAGGGTTTTTTGTTGTTGTGTAGTGCCATCGAGTCGATTCCGACCCACAACAACCCTGTATACGGTTTCCAAGGAGAAGCTGTTGTGCTTGAATGACCAATCTTGCAGTTCAAATGACTTTGCAGTGTGACACATTAGCCCACAGCGCCACACCAGGACTACAAGGTTTGGGAGGCTGTAAATCTTCATGGGAGCAGAAAATGTCATCTTTCTCCCGAGGAGCAGCTGGTGGGCTCAAACCGCTGACCTCGTGGTTAGCAGTCCAGTGCTTACACTACAGAGCCAACAGTGCTCCTAAGATGTTAAAAAGAGGGTAAACTGTAGGGAGGGGAAGGGGAGACTATGGGACCTTCCTGTGCTTTCTTAAAATTTTCCTGTAAACTTCAAACTGCTCTAATCAATGTAGTGGTGGTAGCTGGCAGATACTACAATCCCCAACTCATTGGAACCCCATGGACCACGGGACCAGAGCATGGGGATCCATACAGTTTTCACTGGTTGACTTTTGGAAGTCCATCACCAGGTCTTTCTTCCTGATCATAATGTGCAGCCTCCATTGACAGACGATGGTGGCTGCGTTTAAGGATGCATTGACTGGGGATCAGGCCTAGGTCTCCGGCAGTCTGATGAGAAAGTCAGTGGGTGACTTAATTACAGCAGATATGTGACAAGATACTGTTTGACTATCAACTGGTGATGTTTCTGAGTTCCCCAGAGTCCCCGCGAACCCACGGTGCTGCGGGTGACAGGAAGGACTCACTTGCAACATACAGAGCGACGCGGTCATTGTCTTTGTGGCGCAGGAGGTTTTCTGCATAGTTTAGACGGCTGCCTTTGAACCACTCGGGCACATCCGCGATTCCTTTCGAAGGGTCCACAACCTGCAGAACAAGATATACATGCAAGAGCTACATCCCACTTCCCAGAGAGATAGTCCTACGGACTGAATCCTGACTCTGGTCTAAAGGTTTGCACTCAAAATAGAAATTACTGCCAAGGGATGCCACACACTGCCGTCCATCTACTTTCAGTAAATACCTACTGAGCACTTGATTAGAGATGCTAGAGACCAAGTGAGTAAGGCACACGTGACTCCTACCAGCAGCCAAGGCTCTGACAGATACCAGACAACCAGGAGATGGAGCCACAGGGGCCAGGGGCAGAACAAGGCCCCTCCCAGTGTGACTTCCTGTTCCTGAGTCTACTTCTTCAGGGTTCTGAAACCTTCCTTTCCTTCTCAAAGTGTCTACAGATAAGCCTCTCAGATGGCCACCCTGTAACCAGACCAAACATGCACAATGCACAGTACTTTCAATAACAGGATCGCCCTTCCCCAGATTTAAAAAAAAAATCAGTTGCGTCCAGTAGCTTATGACTCACTACGACCCCACATGTGCAGAGCACTGCTGCGCTCTGTGGGTTTTCATGGCGAGGTTTTTGGAAGCAAATCACCAGGCCTTTCTTTCAAGGCGTCTCTGGGTGGACTCACATCTCCAACCTTTCTGTTAATGGCAGAACTGTCCATGCCATGCTTCCCTCACTTACTTACTGAGTTTTAGTGTGAGAAATTATAACAGTCTCGAAAATCTGTGCTAAAATATAAAATGACTTGGAGTTTCAGAAACAACAACCTACTGCTAAAGGAAAGGGTCAGTTCTCAGAACTGACCCCTGGGGCCCACAGATGATAGTCTCAACACGCCCCCAACTCGGACACAGATTAATGCCAATTCGCCAAGGCAATGCCTTTCCTTTTCCAACGATGGAAGGTTGTTACCAGAGATAAGATTCAGAGTTCCCCAAAATTATTTTTGTTGTAATTGTTGTTGTTGTTACGTGCCATCAGAGCAACCCTATGCACAACAGAACGAAACACTGCCCGATCAATCGTTAAATATAATGCATTAGCAAATTCTACTCACCTCATCATACATACGTGAGAAGACAATTCCACTGAATTTCCAGAACTCTGCCCAGAAGTCGGAGTAAGACTTCACTGACCAATGATACAAGTCATCATAATTTTCTAAAAACAAGAGGGAAAAAAAAGAAATGGCCCATAGTTCAGATAAACCTTTGTTGTTGTTGCTGTTATGTGCCATCAAGTCCAGTCATCCTCACAGCAGCCCCTGTGACAGATAGAGACGCCCCATAGGGTTCCCCAGGCTGTCACCTGTACGTGAGCAGATCCCCAGGTCTTTCTCCCGTAAAGCCGCTGGGTACGCCAGAGCCCCCAACCGTTCAGTTAGCAGCCAAGTGCTTAACCACCGAGACTCTTCAGACAACCCTGAGAAGGCAAGGCTCAGTGTTCCATAGTAAAATGGCCCCCTCTAAGGAACTAGAGGCGTGCCTGAGTGGTTGAAAGGTCATGGATTTATAGGGAGGAAACCACTGCTACTCCCCAAAAGGAACAATAAGTGAGAGGCAGTGAAGTCCCGTCTTGGCCACCTTGCCTGAGAACAGACTCTGGAGCGAGCACACAGGGTCCAGAGCCTGCGCAGCCTTCCCTGAGCCAGGTAACCTGTCGAGTGGCTTAGCTCGCTGTGTCTCAATACTCCCATCTGGGAAATAAGGGTGGTTAACAGTACCCCTTCATAGGGCTGGTCTGCAGACTGAGCTGAGCACACATATAAAGTGCTTAGAGCAGAGCCTTCCACATAATCCATCTTATATAGAGGTTGCTATTACTATCGCATGCAAACTTAGGAGATAGTTAAGTAGTAGACGGAAAAACCCAAAAGCTCAAAACAGATAGATTCGTGGTGGCCGTCTCATGCCAATACAATGTTATGAGGTTTGGGGGGATTGACGTTTTGATTCTTGAATACACAAGTCACATGGTACAAAATGCTGTCCAGCCAGTCCCTGACATATGGCAACCTGATACACACTGGAACAGCACACTGTTCACTCCTACACTATCCCTAGAATCAGTATGGATGGACCCAGTGTGAACCACAAAGTTTTCAATGGAAGGTTTCCTAAAGTCCATAACCACACCTCTCTTCCTAGGCCATCTTTGTCTGTCCACTGAAGTCAGTTCAGCACCCTGATGTTGTTGTTAGGTGCCATCGAGTCGGTACTGATTCATAGCAACCCTGTGCACAACAGAACGAAACACTGCCTCGTCTTGGGCCAACCTCACAATTGTCGCCACACTTGAGCCCATTGATGCTGCCAATATGCCAATTCATCTCGCTGGGGTCTTCCTCTTTTTCTCTGACCCTCCACCTTTCAAACATGATATCCTTCTCCAGTGACTGGTCCCTCCTGACAATATATCCAAAGTATGAGAGACGAAATCTGGCCATCCTGGCCTCCAAGGAGCACTCTCTGGCTGCACTTCTTCCAACACAGATCTGTTGGTTCTTTTGGCAGTCCACGGCACTTTCAATATTCTCCTCCAACACCATAACTCAAATGCATCAGTTGTTCCACAGTCTTTCTTATTCACTGTCCAGCTTTCGCATGCATATGAGGTTATTGAAAATACCGTGGCTTGGGTTAGGTGCACCTTAGTCCTCAAGCTGACACTAGTGACAAATAAACCTCAAATAATACAAGGAGCACTGGCCAGGAGCACAGACCCAGGTCTCCCTAATAGAAGAATTGTCCCTAGTATAAAATGACAAAAGAATCAATAGGATTCTGTGATTAAAACAAAACAAAGCAATCCTCCCTGTAGCCCAAAGCCATCTAGCTCTTCTTCCTGAGACAATCAGCTGTGAAGATTTGTTGGTGGCTTCCCAGGCATATTTAATGCATAGAACAGAAATACCACCTCAGCTGTCATCTGGTGAGACAGCAGCTGGCCACATCATCTATTTGCACCACTCAGGGACAAAACACAACTAAACAGAAAAGCTGTTTACATGTACCACTCCTTCCCACTTTCATACTACTGACAACAGGTGCTAACCTTGGAAACCCCCTCCCCCACTGGGCCTCACCCCTCTCTTTATTAATATGTAAACAAGATATACGTTCATAGACATTAATGCATGAACAGGATGCATGTTCACACATATCAATACATGAACAGGATACGTGTTCATAGATATAAATACATGAACAGGATATAAGTTTATAGATACGATACATGAACAGGATACACGTTCATAGATATAAATACATGAACAGGGTACATGTTCACAGATATTAGTACATGAACAGGATATGCATTCACAGATATTTCCAAATTCAAAGTAGACAAGACACTCTTAGCAAAACCTCCCTCCTTCCTGCCTCTGGCTACTGAGTTTACCTAAGACAACTCAGTCCTGTTATTTTTTACTTCTCCAAAAAAGACCCTGAGAAAAAAAGGGGGTTTTCTCCACTTTTACACAAATGGTAGACTATTTCACCCACTGAGAAAGATGGCATGATGATGTCAGACCCCCTCTAACTAACTCAGAGGATATGGGGGAGAATGATCAGCATCAGCATCAGCCCAAGGCCCAAGATACCTATAAGACAGTGGTCAGACAGACCTCCACCTTCCAACCTTTATACAGTTCTGATCCCAGCCGTCCCTCCCACGATGCTCTATTTATTCTCTGCTGGGTTTGATCATCCATGGCCGGGTCCGCACGGAACTCACAGGCAATCCTCACAGTGACGGGGTGATTAGGGAAGGACCAGCTTACAGCTCAGGGTCAGGAAGCACGTAGACAGTGTCCCTTCCTGGGTGCAGGACAGCTCTCCTAGCTTCTGTCGGCCCCTCAGGACAGGCCTAATTTCCACACCTTCTGGTATACCGCTCTCTCAGCCTCCGGCCTGTCTGGCCAAGTCCTTTGTTGTCACTTTGTTGCTGCAGTGGTGAAGTACTGTTGAGTTGGTTCCGACTCATAGCGACCAAGTATAGGGTTTCCAAGGAGCAGCTGATGGGTTTGAAACAGTTACCTTGTGGGTAAGCAGTCCAGGGCTGATCTTACAGCCCCACACCAGGACTCTACCACACGCTTTAGCTCCATCAACGAGTACCCAGAGGCACTGTTCCAGCAGTATGCCTCCTGTCCAAAGGCTCTTATTCTGCACACAGTGGTCCGCACACCCCAGCCCACCCTACACCATCTCACGCCGCTCTCCTGGTTCTGCTGCCCCACTTCTCACCACCCTGCGCCATCTCCAGAGCTACAGCTCTCCCTACCTCCTGAGGCTGGGAGGTTCTCGGCACAGGGAGTCTGGATCCAGAGGACAGGCTCCCCTCCTGGAACTTCTTTCCTGGAGGCAGTGAGGTCTCCCCTTCCTGCCTGCTCTGGGATGGCTCATTTTAAACCAAGCAGGATGGTGAAACTGACCAATCCCCTAATTTGCATGGTTTGCACCAGACTGCAAAGCCGTTTGAACTGCAAGGTGGGCAGTTTAAGCTCACCAGCTGCTCCTCGGAAACCCTATGGCACTTAACAACAACCACCCAGTCATTTGGTGAGAGTTACAAGACCATGCTGTCCTGGGCACAGCGCCAAGGGTCACTTTTACACCCTTGCTCTTTCACTGTAGATCTTCCCTGCTCATGCAGGAAAAGCTGCTGTCTTATTTTTTAACAAGGACACAGGACACCACTGATAATGTGTACAGTATTGGGGCATTTAAGCTACTTCCAGCTTGCTGCTTATGAAATATACACCCCTGTAGTTTTAAACAGCATAAAAGCTGCAGGTGCTAACAGAAGACATCCAAACCAAACCCAGACTCCCTCTGAGGGGCAATGAACCTTCACACCCACGTCAACTCAATGACTGTTCCACCCACCACAGGAGCTCCAGGGCCAAGCTGGACGGCTGTGAGTCTCGGCACTGCCACTTTCCAGACATGAGCTAGGGCAGTCTAAGCCTCAGCTTCCTCATCTGTAAAATGGCGTAGATGATACGACTCACCTAAAAGGTCTACAGGCCGCTAAATTCAGCTTAGCTCATAAAGAGCACAGCATCAGACTCTAACTCCTGACCCTGGCCCTGACCCTCACCAACTAGTCCAGGGAAGATAAACACTTGGTGGGGAAGGGATGACTGGGAGTGCATGCTGAGCTAACAAGAAGAGAGGACAGAACGTCCAGACCTATGACTATCCAGGAGGGGGCCCACTGGAGGAGAAGGAGGCAGTGCAGCCCCAGGGTGTGGCCCCAAGAGGGGCCCAGAGCCACCTGTGGGAAGCAGCACTGGCCAGACAGGCCCCACTACAAGTCTGTTTCGTTTGATTTTAATCACCTCAGCCTCCCTGATTTACGACATGGCCCGGATGGAAGCATGCCCTCTCAGGGCAGAGTGAAGGGACAGGTGGAAGCAAATGTGGGAATGGGGCAGCGACACCCAGTTTACAGATGAAATTTGGAGTTTTGGCCTCTCCTGAGAAAGTTGCACCAAGTCCCAGATGGTCCTGCTCCTCTGTCCCTAGGGCCTCCCAGCAAACACGCCACTGAGCAAAACTGCCCTGTATCACCAACAAGACACTATAGAAATGACTGAGTGTGGCTACCAAGGCCAGGTCTGAAAAGACACCGCAGGGCACCTCAGTAAGTGGAACATGACACCACATGCCTTAGTCATATCGAGCTGCAGTAACAGAAACACAGCTGCAACCTGCTCCAGAAGCTAGAAGTCCAGCTTCTCTCTCCGTGGAGGATCTGGATAAAGGGCCCTGTCTCTCCTGAATTTCTGCTCCTGAGCTGTCTTCACGTGGCCTTGCTTCTCTCTTCCACATCGGTACTTTTTTCATTTGCTTGTTGAATCTCCTTCATGTCTCAAAGGCGATTTACTCAAAACACCAAAACCAAACCCACTGCCATTGACTTGATTCCCACTCATAAGGATCCTACAGGCTAGCTGACCAACAGGGTTTCCAAGGCCATCAATCTTTACAGAAGCAGACGGTCTGCTCTCTCCCACACTGCAGCCTGTAAGCTCAAACTGCTGTCCTTTGTAAAACAAGCCAAGTGCTTAACCATTGCACTAGCAGGGGACTTAAAACATTGTTGTTGCTAAGTGCCATCAAGTCAGTTTCGATTCATAGGGACCCTGTAGAGGG